TTTGTATATATTAATCTTACATCCAATAAATGTGTTATTATTTTATAATTTTTGTATATTCTGAGTTTTATATGAAGATAATTATACTTTTATTTATTTTCACTTATATACATTTATTAATTCATGTATATATGTATTTATTTCAGCTTAATTCAATGCCTAGGAAACAGCAAGAGCTTGAACAAAAGTGATTATTTATGAGTCACCTTTGCTGCTCCTGAGTTAAAATGGAATGTTTTTTAATATCTTATTATTATGTATGGTGTTCTTTGTACTATTTTTTAAATACCTGGTATCAGTTTAAAGAAGTATTTTTATATTCCCAGTTAGCTGGGTTATTGATGTTCTTGTTTAATCTTCATTGGTTGTTGAATTTTATTATATGTATTTTTGCTCCAGAATCTTTGTGATAATCAACCTTTTCTTATTTTATTTCATTTATTTAAAAAAAACACATATTTTATTGAGTTTTTTACAGAGAGGAAGGGAGAGGGATAGAGAGTTAGAAAGATCAATGAGAGAGAAACATCAATCAGCTGCCTCCTGCATGCCCCCTACTGGGGATGTGCCCACAACCAAAGTACATGTCCTTGACCAGAATTGAACCTGGGACCCTTCAGTCCGCAGGCTGATGCTCTATCCATGAGCCAAACTGGTTAGGGCTTACTTTATTTCTTATTTAAAATATTAATTTATCTTATTAATGTGTAGTATTCCATTATGAATCTCCTAACAGACATTGCAAGTTCGGGATGAACACAACTTTGTCATGCTGTATTATCTGTTTTAGCCATTGCTCCATTTACTTTGCAATTATCTTATTTCTATTTATTTTGCTTTTATGTTACTAAGATTAACCAGTAATTTTTCCTTCTCATTATTTGTTTCTCAAAAATGCACTTATTATTCATATTTTTATTTCTGCAATATAAAAAGGTAATGTTTCTCCTAGAATTTATCCATTTAATATGAATTTTCAAATTATCAGAATATCTTTTTCACAATACTGTCTTATCTTTTACATTTTTACTATAAGTGCAAGCAAGATGCCTTTTCCATTCAGAAGTGGCTTATCTGTGCCATTTAATTATATATATATATATATATATATATATATATATATATATAATTATTTTGTATATATTAATTTCAGAGAGAAGAGAAAGACAGCCCATCAATGATGAGAGAGATAATCATTGATCGACTGCCTCCTGTATGCCCCCCTACTGGGGATTGAACCTGAAACCCAGGCATGTGCTTGACCAGAATCGAACTTGGGACCCTTCAGTCTGCAGGCCAATGCTCTATCCACTGAGCCATATTGGCTAGGGCCCTTATAATTTTCTTGACCCATCTTGTCAGAGATTAATTTTCTTATATTTTAAAAGCACTAGCATTGAACACTTTTATTTAACTTTTTCATATCTGTGATTAATTTCTTTAAATTTTGGCCATATTTTTGTTACTTTCTTTTCACAATATAGGATGGCATGAAATTATTTTTAAGTATATGACAAGTGAACATTCATTCATCTACCATTGGGTTTTCTTTTATAACATTTGTCCTTGAATACATGGATATCCAAATATGCAATACACTTATTTACTTGGAAAAGACATGTGGCTTACAGCCCTGGGAATTCGAACCAAGTCCATAAATCATTTCTATTCAATTTCATTATTAGAATATTGGATGATTTAGGGAGATAGAATTATAGCACTGAAGTAAAGGAATGCTAATATATAAAAACCCAGGGTCCATAATGACTGAAGCCTTAACTGAACACCAGATCTTCCGGATCTCTGACTTCCTTCTGGACAAAGCCATGGTGGTGGGGGCCAAGGCAGAGGCAGTTGAGGGCGATCAGGTCAGCAGAGGAAGGAAGTTGGGGGCGAGATCAGGCCATCAGGGAAGGGCATTTGGGGGTGAGATCAGGCCAGCAGGGGAGGGCAATTGGGGGCAATCAGGCCAGCAGGGGAGGGCAGTTAGGGGCAATCAGGCAGGCAGGCAGAAACAGTTAAGGGTGATCAGGCAGGCAGGCGGGTGAGTGGTTAGGAGTCAGTGGTCCCAGATTGCTAGAGGGATGTCCGACTACTGGTTTAGGCCAGATCCCAAGGGGTTCCCGATTGGAGAGGGTGCAGGCTGGACTGAAGGACTCCCCTCATGCACAAATTTCATGCACCGGGCTACTAATCTATATACATAAAGCCCTAATATGCAAATAGACTGAAAAGCAGAGCACCTGAACAAACTGTCGCTATGACATGCACTGACCACAAGGGGGTGCGTGCAGGACATGGCAGGCATTGGCAGCAGGTGGCAGAGCACAGAACATGGTGGGCATCAGCATCAGCTGTGGCAGGATGGTGGAGCAGGTGAACAGGGGTACCAGACCAAGGTGGGGCATCAGTCAGTCATCAGGGCAGGCCTCTGGTGGTTATTGAAAATTCTTTGCTCTTGCATGCTGCAGTCCCACCAGGTGCTCACACCTGCTGCTGACACCAACCCTGCTCTCACCTGCTGCCAATGCCCAGCACCAGTCCCGATCAGTTGGCACTGTCAGCAGGTGCAAGCAGCGGCTGCAGACCCTGATTGCTCTTGATGGCTTCTCCACCTCCCCCTGCTCCTGAAGGGCGATTATGGCGGCAGCCACACTCACACCCACTGATGGTACCAGCCCCACTTGTACCCATGGCTGGCGCTGACCTTAATCACTCTACGCTGTCAGCAGGTGCATGTGGGGCCAGCACCATCAGTGCGTGTGAGTGGCAGTGGCAGGAGTAGGGCTGCCAGCAGACAGTGGACTGGGGGCGGTGGTGAGAGGGGCCAGGTGGGGGTGTGGAGAATGGGCCATGACCAACCCCTGTATCCACCATAGCCTTGCAGTCCACAGTTCCTTTCAAAGTGCATGAATTTGTGCACTAGGCCACTAGTTTCTATTATAAACATCCTAGAGGCCTGGTGCATGAATTGGTGCATTGGTGGGTCCAGCTGACCTGCCCCTGATGGGTGCTATTGGAGCTTGGCTGGCTGGGGTCGGGAGCTTATCAGAGGTGAGGCTGGCCAGGATAAGGTGTTCGACTCCTTCTGTCATTCAGTCTATTTGCATATTACCCTTTTATTATATAGGATAGATTTAAGAAGATAGTGTAAATATAGAAAAAAGTAGTGGAAAAAGAATGGACTTGGAAAATATTTACATATATATATGTAAATATATACATATGTGTATATATATATATATATATATATATATATATATATATATATATATATGGAATGTGGTCTGTTACTTACTGCCTATGTGATTTTAGGGAGTACTTAATGTCCCTAAGCTTCAATTCCACCATTTGGTATTCAGTGGTGCTATTTGCCAAGTGTTTCCATTTCTCCCCATTTGTAGGCATCTGGTAAAACTTCACTTCTTGTTTGGCCCCATCTGTATGGGTGGGGATGCTTATGTAACTAGTTCTGCCTAAGGGATGGAACTTAATGTGTTATTTTGGGACAAGAACATATGGTTGTTGTTTTGAGATCCCCCTACACAAGGCCCTCTTCTCCTCAGGCACAGTCACTGACAATTTTCTAGGTAGTGGCTCCTCTGTCATTTTGGTTCTCCAAGTTATTCCAATAACAATTACTAAGACCCCCAATATCTACCATCCTGTGATGAACATGCACCTGCCATGCTCATATAGTATGAGTGAAGACTAAGCCACTGACAGTTGGGGGTTGTCTTTTACCATAGCATGACCTAGCCTTTTGTGTCTCATATACCTCACCTGTAAATTAAAATAATACCTTCTTAACATTTTTTCTAAGAATTAAGTAACTTATACGACAAGGTTATCACAGTGATTGACATACAATAGGAATTGAAAAATGGCAGCTATAGTAATTAAATAATGGTAAAAGACTGATTTTGAAAAAGTGTAGAATCTACACTAATAAAAGAGAAAGATGCAAAATTGACCATGCCTCTGCAACACCCACCAGCCTATCAGGAGCAAGTATTCAAATTAACCTGACAAAGATGGTGGTGGCCCCGCCCCCAGCCACTCCAGACCTGTGAGTCCAAGAAGTCAGGAGAGATGGAGAAGTTGGGCATCAGTACCTGAGGCTGGCTGCGGCCAGGGAGACCAAGAAACACTCTGCCCTGTGATTCCCAGGCCGCAGCCAGCTGGAGAAGTTGCCCACACTGCATCCCAGGGAAGATGGAGAAACTGCCTGCCTGTGGTCCAGGTGCCAGCACCTGTGGCTGGCTATGGCCTGGTAGACAGAGAAGCTGCCCACCCCATGGTCCCTGATGCCAGAGCTTGCAGCTGTGGCCCAGGCAAAGCCAGCTGCCCACTATCCCTTACAGCTGCAGCCAGCCCAGGCAAAGCCGGCCCAGGTCCCTAGTGCTTATGGCTAACCAGAGGGAGGGAAGCCCGGATCCTGGGTGCCTGCGGCCAGCTGGAGGAGGGAATTCTGGGTCCCAGGTGTAAGGCAGAGGCAGAGGTGGTTAGGGGCAATCAAGCCAGCAGGGGAGCAGTTAGGGACAATCAGGCTGGCAGGCAGAAGCAGTTAGGGGCAATCAGGCAGGCCAGCGAGCAGTTAGGAGCCAGCACTTCTGGATTGTGAGAGGGATGTCCAACTGCCAATTATCCCCCAAGGGGTCCCAGATTGGAGAAGATGCAAGCTGGGCTGAGGGACACCTTCCCCCTGCCCCCATGCACGAATTTCGTGCACCAGGCCACTAGGGTTACTATAAAACTAGGGTTACTAAAAAATTCTTCATCTGTTCATCTTTACAGGAAAAGAACCTGCTCATGCCTTGATTTTGGACTTCACACACTCCAGAACTGTGAGAAATAAATCTGTTGTCTATATATCACCAAGTCCTTAGTGTTCTGTTATAGCAGCCTGAAGGAACCAAGACCCTGCCAATCTCTTTGAAATTCAAGTTACATGTTAGAATATTATCTTAAAAATACTATAATAACGAAAATCCTTTTACCTTCATTTTTGTATGTCCCATATGGAAGAAAAAATTTTTGTTGTTGCCGTCTCTCAGACATGGTGTCTTGTAGAAAAAACTTGAAAGTGCTGATATGAGAGAAAAATGAAGTTGATATATTATAATAAAAACAGCACAAGTGATAACACTCCTTAACCATTTATCAAGTAATACAGAATATCCCAAAATTTATACACACTTTAACAATTGATATTTCATTTTTGAAAATGAAATGTATTTTTAGTAAACACTACCTTTTTAATTATCCAAAGTGTGTGAAAACATATTTGAACATTCTGTATTTAAATCATCCATGGATGTAAACACAACCTTTTATTTACTGAATTGTACTCTGTACCATCTACAAAATTTTTATAAATTATATCCCTTATAATTTTTCCATATGAAGAACAGCAGAGAGTTTTCAATGAGTCTAAGAAGCAATAGTTAGAAAATCAAAAGCTAACAGTGTTTAGTTGGACTAATTTAAACAATTTAGGGATCATAAGCACAAAGAGATTGTGGTATCCCACCTCACATTCATTTTACTTATTTCCTTTAAAAAATATTTGTGTTTATTTCAGAGAGGAAGGTAAAGGGAGAGAGAGATAGAAACACCAATGATGAGAGAGAATCATTGATAGGCTGCCTCCAGCAGGCCCTTAGCCATGTACCCTTGACCTGAATCAAACCGGGGACCCTTCTATTCACAGACCAATGCTCTGTACACTGAGCCAAACTGGCTAGGGCTATTTGTTTATTTCTTATCCTCACCTGAGGATATTTCCTATTAAAAAAAATAAATGTATTTTAGAAAGAGAGGAATAGAGAGAAAGAAACATAGATTGGTTGCCTCCCATATGCATCCTGATTGGGGATCCAGCCTGCAGCTTAAGTATGTGCCCTGACCTGGAATCGAACACGGAACCTTTTGATGTATAAACCCACACTCAAACTGAACAATCCAGCCAGGGCCTTTATGCATTTTAAGAAAACTACTAGGCAGCAAAGTAAATATAAGAAATAAATTCTGAATCTTCACATGATAATACTTTCATATTTTTATTGAAAAAAAAAAACCACAAAATTCCTCTTTAAAAATATTTATCTTCCTTTCTCTATATAGAGACAAATAAGGGACAGAAATGAAAATCAGATTTTGGAAACGGCTACACAAATTGGCATCTGAGAGGTCTCTGGTGTCCTTAATAACACATAGTCAGAGGGAGACAGAGAAGCCATTACACTGTCATCCAGACAGTGAATATGGCAGGATGGTAAGCAAGAGCAGGGATTTTTTTTTAATCAGAAGTTTTCTAGAAGCTCACTACAGACTGATTATCCTTTCAGCATAACGTTTATTGCTTGTCTCATTTTTTATTCTTATAAGTATAATTCCAGTAGGACACGATCTCACTCATCTAGGGGAAATGGTGAACAACATAGACTGATGAACAAGAACAGACCCAGAGATAAGGAGCCATGGGTCAGACTGTTGGACCTCAAAGGGAGGGTGGGGATAAAAGGGAGAGATCAACCAAAGGACTTATGTGCACACATATGAGCCTAACCAGTGGTCAAGGACAATAGGGGCATGAGGAGAGGATTGGAATGGGGGGTTGAGGACAAATATGATACCTTAATCAATAAAAAAATTAATTAAATAAAGAAGTTTTCTTTGAACCAGAGATTATCTCATTTAAGCTTCACAAAAAACCTTATAAGGCAGGTACCTTTTTGCAGATGAGAAACTGAGTACTGAGTACAAAGAGGTAAATCATTTGTCTGAAGTTGCACGTCTGGTAAGTCGCAGAGTAAAGGAGACTAAAACTCAGGTCTGGCTGATTATATATGTATTTCAGAGAGGAAGGGAGAGCGATAAAGAGACAGAAACATCAATGATGAAATAATTATGGATTGGCTGCCCCTTGCACACCCCCTACTAGGGATCAAGCCCTCAACCAGGCCTGTGCCCTTCACGGGAATAGAAGCTGGGACCCTTCGGTCCGCAGGCTGGCGCTCTATTCCCTGAGTCAAAACAGTTTGCGCAGGGTCTAGCTAACTCTTAATCACCAAGAATATGTTTCTTCCGTATAAATATGGAAGGTGGAGTAAATGGCCACCTTCCACTTCTAAAAACCCTCATTCCTCAGTTTTATATGCACTCCCCGGCAGAGTATTCCCCAATATGTTTTTTCCTTTAGTGGGGAGCTACTTTCTGTTACGCAAATGCTTCCCTTCAGTCTGGGGAGAAGAGGGAGGGGGGATCGGACAACCACTGAAAAAAAGCAGGAAAGAAGCAACATGCTGGTTTACTGTTCTCCCCTCAAGAAATTTGGCAAATTGACACATAGGCCATGGCAGTAGTTAATGATAACCCATGACGCAGCTAGAACATCGTGGGCATTTTATTTTATTTTTAATTTTTAAAAAAATATATTACAGAGAGGAAGAGAGAGAAATAGAGAGCTAGAAACGTCGATGAGAGAGAATCATTGACCAGCTGCCTCCTGCACACCCCCCACCGGGGATGTGCCCGCAACCAAGGTACATGCCCCTGACCGGAATGGAACCTGGGACCTTTCAGTCCGCTGACCGACGCTCTACCACTGAGCCAAACCGGTTTCGGCGGCATTTTATTTTTTAAACTTAACTTTATTTTTCCATCATCATTTATGCTCTTTATGCCCTCTTCCACCTTCACTTATCACCCCCGCTCCCACAATCACCACATAGTTGTCCTAGAGTTCGCTCCCCCGCTTTTTTTCAATCCTTCCGCCCCTCACGTCCAACACCACTATCCCCTCCCTCACAACTACCACTACCAGAACTGTCTGCCTGAAGAGCAGGGCTTTGATGTGGCAACAGGAAAGAAAATGGGCAGGGGTCTTACCCTTTTTCCTGAGCCTGGGCACCTAGAGAAGTCCAAAAACCTCTGCCGCGCCCTCTCCCGCCGCCAGTTCTCTGAGAAATCTTCCCGGACAGACTCGGGACCCTCCTACCCGGTGGGTGGCGCCCTCCTACGAAGTGGCGCCCCTCCTACGGAGTGCAGCCCCCAGCTCACTGTATCTGAACCAGCCTGCTCCAAATTCCCCTTCAGCGAGAGCGGGGGAATCAACCACAATTCTAAAAGTTTTGTGAACCTACAAGTCTAACTCTTTAGAAAGCTAAACCGATCTACAGTTCAAGAGAGTTTCCACACACTTAAAGCGCAGACCCTCGGAAATGGACCATAGCTTGTGATTGTGGGGAGGAACATCACAAGACAGTAGGATCCATGTAGACCCATAGCTTTGGGACCTACCTGACTTTCATTGTCTTGCGTGTCAGGGAAAAAATGGCGGAACGATCCAAGGTTCGGCAACTCTTAATCTCCATGTGGCTGAGAGACCTCGGTGTCGCGTGATCATACCCTAGAACGTGACCATAGGATATACGTGGCCAACAGCCTTCAGTAGCCGTAGTGCTTACATGACTGCACAGTCTTTGCCTGCCTGTGATATCAGGCGCCACATGATAGTAGAAGCCATGTGGCTGCTGACTCTTCAGTCTGCAGAGTGGTAGTCCACAATTTTCATGTGGTAGAGATAGCTGAGGCTAACATGTGATCATAAAGGAACACAGGACTATAGCATCCATATGATCCTAAGTAACTGTTCACCGATTTGATTTCAAGGGCTGAACCTCCCACATGACACTAACTACCATGTTTCCCCGAAAATAAGACCTAGCGCATGGAAAGATAAGACATCCCCTGAAAATAAGACCTAGTGCAACTTTGGGAGAAAAAATTAATGTAAGACACTGTCTTATTTTTGGGGAAACAGGGTAGTAAGGGCCACATAACAGGAAGAATGCACGTGACAGGCAAGGTTGCAGAATTCACCTCGCTCTAGTGACTTGCCGAGCTAGATCTACCTCATGACCCTAGTGGAAGCAGGTCTATGAGAGACCAAGTGAGCTCAGGTGCTGACAGGATCAGTGGTCTGGGTCTGCCACGTAACTATAGTGTCCACATGATGGCAGCATCCACGTGACCTTAGCCTCAGGAACCCACAGGGCTCGCGAGCTGGGTCAGCTTCATGACAGTAGGGTGCTCCTGACCTGCTTGTTTCACTAAACCGTTCTCTTCATGAGACCTGGAGATCTGAGGTTGCCCACATTCCTGGGCTCCCAGTGATGGTGGTGCCTCAGGGTGCCCTTCTTCAACACGGAAGCTGGGCTTCACCTGCCCTTTTTTATAATGTAGTAATGTACATTATTTGCATATATAAATGTACTTCTCTAATGTACTATTTTTTTTCTAATAAAACACATGTAATTTTATACATAAATTAAGATATAGCAATGAAATAGGTCCTTCCTAAAACCATAACCTTTACTACATTGTAGGAACTACTTTAAAAGCCTAAACACAAGGTCGACTTAATTTCATGTGAGTCTAAAGGAAATTAAAGCAAACCCAATAAGGGAGTTTAAATGGTTAATTTAAAGAAAAAAATGTGTATAATGATTACAATGTAACAAACACTTTAAAATGTTAACTCGGGAATACAGACAATAATGTGGTGAAGGCCTGGGAATGTGGGGTGGAGGGGTTAATGGGGGCAAAAGAGGGAACTGTAAATACTTTCAACAATAAAGATGAATTTTTAAAAAACTAACTCATTTAACAGTGGCAATTCTATGGGATAGGTATTCTTATTATTCCAGTGTTTACAGATGAATAAATTGAAGCACCAGTGTGTTAATTCACTTGCCTAAAATGTCACAGTACTTATAGGCAGTAAACCAAGAATTGTCCCCACGCACTCTGGCTCCAGATTTTGTGTTCTGATCACCCACCAAATTATCCAAAGAAAATTAATATTAATTTATCCTTCCTTATTCAGACTAACTGGAAAGCTGTCCTTAGGTACTGAAAAAAATGAGATCATGGAGGACCTCTGTAATGTCGTTTAAATAACTTCAAGTACTAACAGAAACGAACTAATCAAAGTTGGGAATAATTAAGGCCCTCAGATTTAATGTATAAATATAAATTTATTAATATGTGAAATA